AGAAGTAATTTGTATACTCTTTTTATAGCCTTTTAGTATAGTAGTAAAAAGAATTTCTTTCTAACTATTATAGTAGCGCTTAAAAGATATATCTACCTAGAAGGTCTCTTATTTTATAAGTAGTTTAGCTTACTTATTCTACACTTAGATAATAATATAGCCTCTACTAGCTAGTAAGATTTAGTAGATATATACTTATATAGATTAATTTAGAAATGTTTAGAAAATATTTTAGATAGCGCTTATAGTAGTAGAGTTAGAATAGTTTACTCTTCTCTTAAAAAGAACTCTCTCTAGGCTAGCGCCTAGAGAAAATATAATTAACCTTTAGGTAGTAGCTATTCTTATAAGGTAGTTTTTATTTACCTAAGTAGTATAGAGTTTCTTAATTAATAAAACTCTACACTACCTTAAGTAGAAGGCGAACTAGTTAGACTATAAAAAGGTAGCTAGAATAGTTTAGAAATAATTTAGAATTAATATCTATAAAATAGCTTATATCTTATAGTATTTAGTATTAATATTAATTAGAATATATAAACTATATTCTTAACTAATTCTATATCTAGCTACTAAGGTAGAGAGAGTATATACTAGTATATACTAGTTAAAACTACTATAAAGTATAGAACCTGCTTAAAATATAAGAAGATAATAATATTAATTACTATATTATAGTCTTATAGAACAAGTTTACCTTAACTCTAAGTATAGTTAGTACCTAAAATAGTTTAGAATTAATCTAGAAATATTCTTTAAGAACTTACTATAGTCTTTTAAGTACAAGATTTAGAGCTTAACTATATTATAGTTCTTATAAAGGCCTTTTGCTCTACTATCTAGAAGAGCTTATAGATAGGTAATATTAATTCTTAGCAGCACTCTCTAGATATAGTACTCTATATTACCTAGAGCGTAATTACTATAAGTAATAAACTAAGAAGTAGGCTCTATTACTTACTAGAATTAGTTAGAAATTATTTTAGAAATAGTTTAACTATATATACTATTAATTCTATCTAAAATAACTCTAGACTATAAGAACTCTCTTTGTTAGTATAAATACTATCTCTAAACTAATACTAAAGCCTATTAAAGTAGCTTTTAGCCTTTTTTTTCTTTTTATTCTACTTAATTTAGTCTATAAACGTCTTTATCTACCTAAGTATCTTATATAAGCCTTTATCTACTTATAAGTAAGTAAAATTCTATAATTAATCTTAAATATATTTATACGTCTTAATACTAGAGTACTTAAAAACCTATCTTAAAGTAGTTAAATTTAAGAAGAGGCTAAAAGTCTTCTTTTTCTCTACTTTACTAGCTTTATAGTATTAAAACTACTTATACTAAATTAGTTCTAAATTAATTTAGAAATAGTCTACGTAGGCTACTTATACTTTTAGTATCTTATAATACCTTCTTAACTAAAGAATATTACCTATTTACTTTTAAAACTTAAATAATATAAGTATAGTCTCTAGAGTTTATACTAGAGTATTAAAGTAGATATATAGTATACTTAATAACTCTAGCCTCTAAGAGAGGCGCGCTACTATTTTTAGAAGTAAGTTAAACTATACTTTAGTTTAAATAAGTCTAGAATTATTCTAGAATTAATTTAACTATATACTTTAACCTAGTCTTTAATACTACTATTATTACTCTTACTAGAGCTAGATAAATATAGGTTAAATCTCTTATAGATATCTAGGTCTAATGTATTAAAGTTAAGAAATTTAGGCTTAGCGTTAAATATAGGCAAAGAAGGCTCTATATTATAATATAAGTGTAATCTAGTCTAAATTAATTTAGAATAAATTTAAGAATTATTTAAATTAAAAATTTTATTACTAAGTGCGCTAATTCTCTTAGATAGTATAACGCTAGCATGCTATGTTTTAAAAATTACCTATTTGCGTTAGCACATGCTATGTCTTAGCGCGCTCTTAGTTAGATAGACTGTATGCACATACTGCGGCTAGTCTGTTCAACCGCATGTGCATTGTGCCAAATCCAGACCCAGCTACCAGCCAGTCGGCACAGAAATATGTGAGGGATATCATGGGGGTTGCTCGCTCGCGTTAAGCAGCCCACATCCCGTGGAGAACGTAACATAAACGCAAAGCTCTACCACCGTGATGGAGAAGTGACTCCATCTGCTCAAGTCTCTGGGCTCAACGGGAACGGCAAGCATGGATGATGACTGGGAAATCAGCAGATCCAAGGACCATAGTGATGTTCTTGGTAGAACACCCGGTCTCGACACGAGGCCAAGGCCCTATTACACCCTAACAACGGGCCGATGCTCGGTCGACGATCATCAAGCGCGAAGAATCTTCCATGCCAATACGCCGGCTCCGAGGCCAGGCCTTGGCCCCACGCGGGTGCTATCAGATGGATTAAAACTGGGCGATTGGTACCACGACTAATCAATCTGATAATCGTCGCTTTATCTGATCCACCAACGTACACAACCGAAGATGGGTGCCTTAGGATGTGAGGAATTTGTGGTTCCAGAATTGTATGGCTGCTTGGATGCTAATGCAAGTGCTCAGGGCTCAGGCCCAGCGACTCTGGCGATGCGAAGAAAATTTTGGAGAGGAAGCTCGTTGTGAAGCTTGGTACGAGCATCTCTATCCCCATGGCGCATCCATGCTAATTTCCATGTGACTAGACATCTTCATCATGGTCGGTACTGTCGCAGAACTCGACTACTCATGATATCTGACTGTCTTGACTAGGTGTTCTGCTGCGCAGCCTACTTCTTCAACTACCTCGATCGCCAGGCTTTCGCTAATGCCTATGTTGCTGGTCTCCGCGAAGACATCGGCCTCAAAGGCAATGAATACAGCATTCTGCTGTCCATTTTCACTGCTGGGTCCGTTCCGCATGTTGGACAGTCATGTCGCTCTAGCTGACACCTCCGCAGTCTCGTTGTCGGCCAGATACCTCATGGCCTTATCATCCAGAAAGTTCGCCCTAGCATATGGCTCCCGTTCACTCTTATCCTCTGGTCTCTTTTGACCATGTGCTCAGCTGGGTGCAAGACGTATTCACAGCTTTGTGCAGTCCGCTTCTTCCAGGGTTTGATCGAAGCCAGTTTGTACAGTGGTAGCGTGTACGTGATGGGTTCATGGTAGTAAGTCTATCGAATTCCTTTTCATGGGAAGATTCTCACGATACCCGCAGCAAGCCTTCCGAGATAGCCAAAAGGGCTGCCATCTTTACTGCGGTCGGGCAGGTCGGGAGTATGTGCGCTGGTCTCATGATGACGGCAATGCACCAGACGATGGAAGGCAAAGGCGGCTTGAAAGGCTGGCAATGGGTGTTCATCATTGGTACGTGAGCGATTGCGAGGGCCGTCTCGCGCGCGTTGCTGATACATGTGGTTCAGACGGCCTCATGGGAATCCCAGTTGGTCTCTTCGGATTCGTAAGTTGTGTCGGTGCTTGCACCCGAGCCTGAGGACTGATAGTAACCCTAGTTCACATTCCCGGATCTTCCAGAGTCAACCAGAGTCTCCTACATCACTCAGGCGGAAAGACAGCTCGCAATGACTCGTCTACCACCCAAGACAGCAGACACCCACAACATCGAGTTCAAGAGCCTTGCGAAGCGTGTTCTCCTAACGCCTACTATGTGAGTAGATACCTATCGTGTCAGTCAAGACCAGGAAGTCATGCTAACTCGTGTGCAGATACATCCTCACAACTTTCTCCGTCGTCTGCGCCATGCTCGAAGCCTTCGCCTTCCAGGGCATGTTCCTCCTCTGGCTCAAGCACAACAAGTCTCGCTTCTCCCAAACCGCCATCAACACGTACCCTCTCGGAATTCAAGCTGTTGCGATCGTTTCCCAAATTCTGGGCGGAGCCTTCATCGACCACACAGGTCATCGTCTGCCCATGATCATCTTTAGTGGAGCGATGCAGCTCATCACCGCATCGCTTCTGCTCGTGCGAAACCTTCCAGATGCGGGAGTCTTCACAGCGCATTACCTCAGCGGCACGAGTTTTATCGTGAATCCAATCATGTACGGGTGGGCCACAACCATCTGCCAGCGAACGGGCGACGATGCGGTGAGGGGTGTGACCGTGTATACAATGGCTATGGGTGGTTTGATCCTGTATACGTGGTGGGGTATTGTTATGTACCCAGCGACGGATGTACCGTACTGGAAGAAAGGAAGCATCACCATGATCGTGGTGGTCTTTGCCTTTATCGGATGGGCGTTTGTGGTCAGATGGGTGAGTATTGTCCGTCGCTGAAATGTTTGGCGTGTGCTAACGACCTGTATAGCTTGATAGGAAGACGGCGATGGCTGCTAACCGTGAGCCAGCTGAGTCTGGAGAGCATGAGGTGCCGGAAGTGGTTGATGAGAAGACAAAGTCCGGATGATGCAGGCTCGGCAGAGACGACGCGTTTGGGCTCTACACAGCAGAGGCGACACCTTCCGACGTTTGCACACATACCATCTTTGTAGATCGCAAGATGCCACTAGATTGGAAAGGAAAGAAGGCGGTTGCTACTGCAGAGCTTCTGTGAATAAAGATTGTTTCGAAGTATTGGATTTCATGTTGATAGGTTCTCAGTGCCGTTGCGGTCTAGCTCGGTGATGACATGTCATCATTACGTCACGATCTCAAGGCTGCATCCAGCCTCCTTAATTCTCTCGGGGGCCGAACACACGTCGATGCGACGTGCACATCGATTGCGAAATCGCGAACGAAGCATACATATTTACATTTCCAACGCCAGCTGCGTTCATAAAGCTCCCGATGGCTTACGCACGCGATACATACATCGACCGAGGCAACGCGTCCTGTCATACTTCAATCAACCGGTTCTCCAACTTCGAGACATGAAGCCACTACAGTTCTGCGCCCATCAACTGCTTCTACAACAAGCCCTTCTTTGAGTTTATCTTCCGCTTGTATTCATTTGTGCGAAGAACACCTAGCACGCACCGTCTGCATTCAATCTCGCGCAAGTTCATGGCCTTACTCGCCCTTCCCAGGATCGCCATGCTCAACAGAGTCCATCTCGCCCAAATCTTCACTTTTGTCATCAACAGCCGTGTCAGTCCTCTGTCGCTTGTGCGCTGGCTCATGAGAGTCCTCAGCGTTCGCGGGCTGAGAACCAGAAGCGTTGTCTTCAAGGTTCGAGATATCATTTTCCGCAGAATTTTGTCCTTCAAGCTCCTGAGGTGACGCCGCGAGCATGGATTCGGCTGTTCGCTTCCTTGTTTCAGATGCGCGCAAGTCCTCATCGGTTCTGCTTCCTCCCAATCCAGTCGTAGGGCTGTTCTCCAAAGTCATAGGAGTACTCCCTCTGGCTTCATTGGCAGAGCTACTTTCAGGATCCACCAGGGTGCTTCCTACCAATCCTGTGAGTGTTGGCGGGATACCATCTTCTGGAGAGACTTTGACTTTGTCTTTGTCATGGGTGAAAGCGCCTGTAGTATCAGACTCGGGAGACCAGAGCTGCAAGGGACCTTGGAAGTTTGGATCAAGACCTCTCAGCCAGCTGTATTTGCCGAAGTCGAAGTTCTGGCGCTCATCCATGCCGAGAGTAGAGATGGCTATGAACTTCAACCAGATGTCTCGCACGAAATCTTTACTTGCATTCTCTAGCTTTCCCACCCTTGTTATACGGTCGTCTTCGTAAACCGTAATGGAGCCGGATAGCTTCAACAGACTATTGCGTTTTGGTTTGTGCGTAGAATTCCGATCAATCGTTGCGATACAATCCCATGGCGCGTATGGATGAGGGTTCGGCTGGGCAGCAGTGGTGCCGCGCGAGTACTTAGCACTGTCGGGTCCTTCGCGATTTCGCGTATTAGTAACTGTGGTCTCGTAGGCTCTACGTTCATCGACCTGCGATCGGTTCATGATGCCGATATGCTCTGCGCAAAATGCTGGCGGCTTGGGAACAGTCTCGTCCCCATCGGTCCATGCTCCCACGCAACTATACGTGAACTCGGGTATGATAGTCGCCGTTGGAAAACGGTCTCCATGGAAAACAGCGACAACAACTCCATATCTGTATTCGCAGTAAACGCCCAATGGCGAACCGTTCTCCTCGCAAACCTCATCGCTTGGGTACAATGGATATACGCCCTTGTCTTTAAACTTCACCTTTCCATCTTTGAGTTCCATCCGTGCGTCAGCTACACTACTCTTGACCATCATGAAGTTGACAAAGTCTCCTGGTTCCAAACGAGGAGGTGGTTCGCGTTCATGAGTACGGTTTTGTGTTCGCACCCGACCCGCTGCTGCACCAACAAGCCCTCGACGAGGTTGGGGAGCAGCATTCTGAAATGTCGCGTTGTGAACACGTGAGCGGAGAGGCCCACGCTGACTCGGAGGTGGGATGTTGTTGGTCGAGTTGCTGTAAGACAGCGCATTTTCGAGTTGTGGTAAGGGCAGTGACGCATCCCCAGTATTATCCGGTCGTCCAGTTCCCGCGCCTCGAGATGAATCTAAAGCGGCATAGTTTGGGCCAGTTTCCAAGGTTGGGGCTGTTGTAGGCTGTCGAGGTATCCCAGTGGTCTGACTATCCGACGTAGAGCCTCCAAGGCGTCGCGGTCCTAATGGTATATCGTTCGGATTCCCATCACGATGACAATTGATTATGTTGTTGCCGGCTGTCTGATAGGCACTTTGGTTATTTCTCTGGGTAAAGCGTGGCGCAGGTGGAGGTTGAGGTGCGCCGGGATGACCATTTGGAACCAACATCTGGTCTTGTTGTCGTTGGTCCTGTTGAGCAAAGGGTGGTACGGCTTGCCCCCGTCCTGAGCCTCGTCCTCGACCACGACGTCCGTTTCTTGCTCTCCGTCCGCGGCCGCGTGCACCGCGACTGTTATGCTGCGCGCTATCAGCCTCCGACTCATGCTGGTTGGTGTCATCGCCTTTTGCCATAATGAGTTGAGTGGTTTCCTCGAGCAAGGTTGCGAGAGAAGAGGCTGGTTGGGATTCATCACTCAACTGGTGGCCGTCCATATGCAATAGGGTGATTGCATGTTGGCCCCGGCGTGCAACTACAGCTGCAGCTACTTGACCAATTCACCCACTTTACTGTAAATCTTGACGCAATCTCGCGAGACGCACGTACCTTCTATTCACAGCGCGCCCGAAGGCGTCCACGGAGTGCAACACATACCAGTTTAGCTCATATAGGCTAGTCAGAGAACAAAGGCGTTGGGATAACAATGGCGGGCCCGGGTCAGAACAAACATGTCTTTGTCATGATGTATACTACTCGTTGATTGAAAACCACCTCTTACACAAATGTTTTCTCGACTGAGAGAAATCGTCATCAGAGAGACTCGCATATCCCCTGTTCCAATATCGTACTGCGTTACTAGATATCTTGAACAACTACTTACGCTGAAACCTCCCGCTATCATGCATCAGCAATATCTCCTCAGGTCGTCTAAGTAGCTAAGATGTTTTCCAGGATCCCTAAAGGAATCGCGATGACTCAAGCTACTCATGGAAAAAGATGCTTTCAGGAGTACGCCGGTAATGGCTATCGAACGAGTGCTCACCACTCTATAGAGCGACCCAATAAGTTTCTTCGTCTGACCGAATACACCATACCCGAAGACAAGCCAAGTCGTTGGTCAAAGAAGGTCAAGACCGACTCGAGCTGGCTTTGGCTCTCTCCTGAGATCCATCCCTCTTTCATAGAGACGAAGAATGCCATCAGCTACCAACCTCCAGCGACTGGGCGGTTTCTCAGTTTAGTACCGGAGGTTCATCCACAGTACAAACCACCAATTGAACACAATATTGCGATAACCGGACTAGCACCAGACGTTACGCCGAACACCCACTCAGGAACGCGGGCCCACGGTGGATCTCCAGCAGGATCGTATAGTGCGGACGATGAGACTCTCAATGAGGAACCTCCACCAGATCTTCCCCCTTACCGACCTACCTGGTGGTATCCAGAACTTATACAGAAACAAAACTTCAACGCTGAAAGTGGCTTACTATTGGTCAGGTACGGGGAGAATCCCTTTGCAAGCATCATGCCAACGTATGAACTGTTTCGAGCCATACTAGTTGCAGCAGTAGCTCGCCGTAAAGCGAATTCTTCATGGGCACGGCACAGTGTCGACATCGCTGACATTGAACAAAAGTACACAGCGGCAGCCCAGGATAGTGATAAGTGTCTAGAGGCAATCAAGGATTTCGATGTCTTGTTCCAATGCGAGGACGACCCAGAAAGACGGGAGTGGTTTACAAAGCGACGCGGCGATTACGCCCAGCGTATTGAGGTGAACAACGCAGAGATAAAAAACTTGCAGGATCGAGAAGATAAAGCTGTTGCTCGACATGAGCAAGTACTGGACCGGAGCAAGGCAAGCGAGGACGCCTTATGGGTTCTATTGAGCGATCTACTCGTCAAGATAGGCGTGTTGCCTAGCGCGAACAGTATTAATAACAAGCCCCCAGTCCTGGTGGAGGATGCAAACGAATCCTGCGAGCGATCATACCATGATTGGCCCGAAGACAACTGGAACGATGAGATACCAGGGGAGTGGAAGGACACACCGGCTGTAGCAAAATGGAGAAAAGCTACCGAGGTCCAGCAGTTTGAAGACCCAGAAAATACCTGGAACAACGCATGGGAAGACTACCCCATGGAAGACCCCCTTATCATGCTGCGGGACAGATATACACAAAAGGCACAAGAGGCAAATCGCGTGGAGGTAGAGTTCAACCAAATCCGCGACCGATATAAGACCGAATTAGACGCCTTCTTGTTCCATCGGAGAAGTACTCAGCCAGACCTACAAAAAGAACCGCAACAACTTGAAGAAGAATTTGGCCCAATATGGCTTCAGAAGTGCCGGGATATGACGGGCAAGTTTAAGGAAGCGGACAAAGAGTATGAGGACGCATCGCAAGCTCTCTCGGATGCAAACCGGCGTGATCGCGCAACTAAAAGAGATTGCCCTGAAATACACACTGATCAAGTAGCAGCTAGGGATGAAACCACGGCACCACAACACTTCAAAGACCTACTACCCCGTCGAAAGCGGCGTTTGATCAAAGAATGGTGCGAAGATACTTCTAAGCAACTGAGCAATGAAGAGGTCGAAGAGTTAAGGAGGAACACGGGCCAGCAGCATCTTCCCATCGACATCGACATACCGAGCAATCCACTGCACAGTGGTGGCGAGGATGTTCCCATCGCCACAGGTCACAAACGGCGAAAGATCGATAGGTTCAAACGACGAAACGAGGGGCAATGGCCGGATACAAGCGATGATGCCTTGCAAGCGGTGCATCTTGCGTGGGCTCGGGAGGTTGGAGAACACCTCTAGACTTCTGTCATGGTTCTTTCTCAATTTACATCATTGGGCAATTCAATTCCAGTCACCAGCTCTCATCTTCCAGTCTGTAGTATTAGTGTGCGTCTCGATGGGCGACGTTGAGCGAGCAAGTATTGCAGCAGGTGTCTTGACAGTTCGAAATATTCCTCCATAGTCGTTCTTCTGGCACAGACCATTGCTTATGTAATGTCTCGTGAGTTCCGTCTCTTTTCTGTCCTGTCTATTCTCTTACGTTGATAGTCTTCTCTATTCATGTTCGTGTTCATCGTCGCCGTTTGCTCATGTCGTTCTGCTGCTGACATAGTCTTCGTTGCTCATTTTGCGCTTGAGGGCAGGCTTGATACGTGGGTGGATATTTTGAATGGATATTGTTGAAGAGAAAGGCGCAATACGTTGGGTCGACGGGGTCATTACGTGTTTCAGGTGACGAGAAGAGCGGAAAAGGGGAGAGACTGGATCTCTGGGCGAGGAAGGGGTAGATGTTGGGTTGAAAGTACTCGGGCGGAGTTGTGAGAGTGGGGAGTGGGAGGGGAGAGGTGTAAGAGGATGTGCGTGATGCATGATTAGGGATCGATAGAGAGAATCGGTGTAAGGGCGACAGGGAAGGGAGTAACTGTGAGAGATGACTGTTAACATATTAATTCGTTCTCGAGTCCGTAAATCTGTAATTGATACGTATGCGTTACATAAAAGCAGCGTGAAAAGAATCTTCGTAGTACTCGCGATAGTCATGACCCATTATGTTCGCCCCTGCGCCGAACGAACCCAGAAGACTCCAAAGCAAGTAAGCAAGCGGCCAACGACGGGATCTTGATATGCCCATGTAATGTCGTCTAGATGGTATAAACGTGAGGAAGCAAAGCAACGCTAAATGCTGGTGTACGATGATGAAGGATGATGAGGACGAAGGAAACGCCAAACGCTATGATAGAGGAGATTTGGTTGAGGGCCGTGGGGGATTAGACGGCGACAGTGTGGGCGCGGAACAACATCTTGAGGCCGGAAGGTTCTTTCTCCTTCTTCTTGGTCTTGCTGCTTTCTTTGCTGCTCTCCTTGCCGGATTTGCTGGAGGCGACTTTGCTGGAAGCGACTTTACTTGAGGCAACCTTACTGGAGGGACGTTTTGAGTCGGAGGTCTTGCTGGTCTTGACGCTGACTTCGGACTTCGGTGCGCGGTGCTTGTGCTCTTTGTGTTTTGATTCGCTGCTGTGCTTCTTGGATCGGGTGCTGCGGCGGGACTTGAGATCGTCTTCGTCAAGTACGCCGGCAGCGCAAAGGGTGCGGGAGGCTTCGGGCGTGATGAACTCGCCGTCGACACTAGTGCCGGAGCTGTTGGCCTCGACGTCTGCGATGCCGCGGCGCCACAGCTCTACGCGGCTGAGCTCCTGGGGCTCGAGCTCGTCGAGCTGGTTGTTGGAGTCTTCGATGGGCATCGTAGCGGCACGCATGGGCATCGCCATTTGCGGCTCAGGTAGGGGTGCGTCGACTTCCTTCTGGACTTGCATCTTCTTGATGATTTTGTATCCACCGAGTGCGACGATGGTAACGCCGACAGCGACACCTCCAGCGATCATGAACTGGGGGCTGAGGAGCAGAGCTGCAACGGCAGGGAAGCTGCCCTTGAGCGTCATGAGGACACCAGGTCCCATCTTGCCGACGATGGCGCTGATCTCGGCGAGCGTGAGTGATACGGCGGCAAGCGCTTCGGGGTTCTTCTGCAGGTTCTCGATCATGGCCGTGGCCGTGTGTTGTAAGCAGTTGGCCTCGTCCAGGAGCAGCTCGATCTTGGAAGCCTTCTCTTTCAGCTCGACGTCGTTGTACTTCTTGTCGGGCAGGGGCGGGGGCACATCGCCGTAGCAAAGGTCCATGTCGACTGACTTGGATCGCGACTTGCTGCTCTGCGACGAGCGCTGGACGGCCTGGTCGGAATTCCTCCTCGCAATCTCCTTGTTGTGTGCGTCGCCGGCGAGGTCGGCTTCGAAGCGGTGTTTGCTGCTTCGCGGGCTGTCGTTGGCATAGAAGCTGTCGCTGTAGCCGCGCTCCATCACGGGCCGGTCATGGGCCTTGGTGCGATGGGTGTGGGCTTTGGACGCCTTGGAGCGATGCGAGACCTGGGAGCGGGCATCGTCGTCGTCCAGGCGGATGGCCTTGACGCCCTTGGCGAGCTCCTTCTCCTTCACGGCGGCATCGCGCTCCGCCTTGATCTCCGCCTTGCGCTCGCGGTAGGCGGCCTTGGCCTCCTTGAAGACGTTGACAATGTGCTTGCTCTGGGCGGGGCGTCAGTACGAGTACGGGGCTTATCGGGGGGCTAGCGAGCTTATCGGGCACTCACACTGCTCACAACCTTCCCACTCTTGTTAATAACAGTAATAGTCTCTCCGAGTCCGACGGCCATGGTGACGTAGTAGGGCGTTGTGTTCCTGCAGCAGCTGCACAGCGCGCGGCAAGAGGGGTTTTGTGTGACCTTGAGGCTGGTTGCGGTGAGAATGGTACTTGTGTCCTGGGCCTAGAAGGCGGCGGTGAGCATGTATCAGTCAGTGCTCGCGGAAACGGCAGCTGGCGCAACTCCACAAGGTCCCACCTGGATCACCAAGTCGTCGCGGCCAGGCTGCGACTATAAGGAATTTCAGAGTCACTCCTGACGGCGCTATTGTCGGAACACTACGCGCGGAATGAGGCGATTTCTACCGACCGCGACACGCAGCCATGATGGTGGTGGAGCGCGGGGTGCAACCAGAGTGGCCGAAGCGACCTGCAGCAAAGCCATTCACGAGACTGCCCGCATACTTCGCATCGCTTGTCTGTGACGTCTCGCCCTGGTTCGTGGGCTGCGCCGTGAAGACTCAACCAGTGCAGTCCGGGCATAGTCGCAGCGCGTGTCGCCATGTAACTGGAGGCGCTTCCCTGGCGCCGGCTATGCGGGCAGCGAGACGCTGCAGCACTGAGGCCCCGGCTTCGCCTGCCATTGGTGCGGATGGCTGTCTTGCTTTATTACTGCAGCCATCGTGAACGTGTCGTGACAGCGACTGGACAACTAATTTTCGGCAGCCTCAGTTCTCACGCGTGCTGATGCAACGATGCAGGCCCTGGCAGCCATAACCCGACTGTTGCTGCCCAAACCCCAATCTGGAGCCGGCTATCATTGTCCAGTTGGCATGATCGGCTCTAGGTTCAGCCTCCGGTAGCCTTCAGCTGGGAAGGTTGCCCTTACCGCGCCAGCCGTGGCGGTGCTGCTGTGGCGTCTGTGGCGGTGCGCTCTATCATCGCGGCCGAGACTCCAACAGGCTGTCAACGTCGAGCTGAGAAGGTTGAAAATCTGAGAAGATTACGCAAGCTGCGTCATATCGAGGCTGTCGGAGGTTTGACAGTCTTGGTCATGGCCAGCAGTGTGGCTGTAGTTTGGTTGGGGTCCCACGCTCCTTTTTCTCAACCCACTTTTCCCACGTTTTCAACGCAGACAGGAAGGCACTCCCTGGTGGTGCTGGTGAGGCATTATCGACGATTCATTACCCGCAGGCGATCAAGGCTACTGGTCCCATATACACTCTACACAGGCATCTCTGCTCGCCGATTTCCCATCCTGTCCAATCTTCGGCCGCGCTTCGCAATCCTCAAACTTGGCGGCAGAGTGTTCCAGAATGCACTCCGACGATCTTCACTCTATCTCTTCGACCTGCATGCGGCAGCCTCCAGCCTCCCGCGCCCTGATATGCATGTTCCCGTGAGGCTGTCCTAAGTCTCCTTAGCAGCTGGAGCGACTCGAGGCGGGCCACACCAACCGCGTCATTTACAATTGGTAGCTCAACGTCGGAAGCCGCTCTCTACGTTGCGACCACGTATTCGGGCCTGCGAACGGTCAACTATCTATTATTTAAAGCTCGCAGACTAGGGAGCGACTGCATGATTGACAGCGCGCCGCCAAGTTGTACGACACGTGCATACGTTGACTGCACGCTGGTGCACATATGTTGGCACCACTGCGCTTGCTGTGAGATATGCTGATATGGCCATCGAGAAAAAGGAAGCAGCGATGCTATTCCGTGATCTCAGCTTACTGTGAAGCACACTCCCACCTTGAGATATGGCGTCATTGCAGCGAGATCGCTCGCCATGTAGGGGCGGTGAGATCGTTACTGAGTGCGAGCAGCAAGGCTCGAGCTCCCCTGAGAGATCACCTAGCGACGACGAAACGTCCTCAGATATTACGCTGAACGAGGTAGATGAAGCCGATCAACGGCTGCCTCTTTCGAGCACGGTAAGGGAGGCACCGCTATCGCACAGCGCGGGACTTTCTTCTTCTGCCATCTTTCCGTTCCATCTCCTCGCAGGCTGTAGCTCAGCAGAAAGAAGGACCATGTGCATCTTGTCAGCGTCGCTTACATCGCAGGAAGTGAAGACATCTCTAGGTGTAGGACTAAGAGGTACGTCTAGTCGAGTTGCTGCGTCTATCGGTGATGCATCAGGGCCCCGCAGCCGGCGCTTTTGGCCCTGGACCCTGAATGTGCCGTCATCGCTCCCACCAAGTCGCGAAACCTTTACACGCGACCATGCACTCACACCAGAGATACAACACCAAGCCGGGCTGACCATGCCAACAGCAGCGCCTCCGCATAATGACGGCATCCTGGAGACGCAGGGCGCAGAGAAGTCTGGCCTAGATGGCAATCGAACGCCAGCCCTGGCGCATCGGATGAAGCACGACAAATCGATCCTCGCGTTAGCAGTGTCATCACAGTACATCTTCGCTGGAACACAGGGCGGGGAGATCCTAGTACGTGTCTAAGCGAGCTCCAGAGGCGCGCCAGGCTTATGACGTGCAGGTGTTCAGCCTCGATACCTACGAGCGACGCAGCGTCATACACGCGCACAAGGGCAGCGTGCTCGGCTTGTGTCTGTCGCATGACCGCAAGTGGCTGTTCTCGAGCGCAGCAGATCCGATCGTCAATGTGAGAGAGTCTGGAACGTCCATCGCCGGTGTATACTGAGTTGTT